TTTAGTGGCATCTTAATAGAATTTTGAGAAATGACGCCAAAGGTATACATCCTCGAAACGTACTAAACTACTAACCAACTCTACGATACGAACTAAAAGGTTTTCACAATTTTCTCGACACTTAAAACATTCTAATAGTGAGATGTCATTTCGTATTTCGATCCTACTGTCTACCTGTGGAAGTGATCGAGAGGTGGCTAGTCAAAGAAGTTTTGATTACTTGAATAGGTAATATAGTTAACATACCCGTGAGTTTACTGTCTTAATACAAGGTATGCTCCTAAGTTTCCACGATTTAATTTCTTCGGCTCAAGTAGTCACTGTTAATCAGTCTACCAGTCGCGCTGCTAATTGATGCATATATGATACTTTGATTTTGTTCGCTACCCTGAAACTGTAAACCAGTGTCTTGGCATAAGGCTATCATTCCCGGATATTAACCTGTGTCCAGTATCAGAATTTATACCACTGGAATACTGGTTAACAATTCCTGGATATCGGACAATATTGTCAATTAATAGTGCCACCATAGGCTGATTACAGGCTAAAGCCTGCTTAGATACTTGGTTTTGGACGATTGGTAAGGAATTGGTCCGGTGAGCTGGTTTCATTAATCCTAGAGAAAATACTTACTACTTCAAGGATTTCTACTAACTGTAGGTATAACAACGTACACCGGTGCCTATAATTGTCGAAATGATGAGTACATCACCAAAAGAAAACTCGGGAACTAGCGTTGGCTGGAACGTCCTAAGGCTGGAAAAAGAATTTTCTAATAATCTGCTTTAGGACGGACTTAAATGGAAGTCGATCTTTCTCCTAAAGATCCAGAATGATCACTAGTGCGTTTGGAAAGATTAATGCTATCAAGGACCAAAAGTGATTGTCCCCCTGATGTTCTTACGTCAAGTGCTACCCTTTTAGCACTACCTTGACACTAGAGGCATTTCTGGAAATTTTGACGAAAGTACAACTTCGTGGGAATTTCGATAGAAGGTATACTAATGGATACTGCCAAGGGATCAAAACTATTCTTAGCTTCCATTCTTGAAATGACTAGATGGTAGTGGAATTGGTAGGTAATTCTCCCCTGATGCACAACTGTCAATATAGTAGCCTTGCTTCAGGACCATCAACTTATCTCAAATCTACATCTTTCCTTGGCAGGGGAATTCTTCACTTATAATTTAGAGGCGTTTGCCAAAATAATTTTCTAAAAGGTCAATAAGTCAACTAAGTCACTTAAGACTTAGAAAAAGCTAATACATTTTTCATATTCGACGACGTGGTAAAATTCAAAAATTAGTCTCAAGAACCTAGAATGCTTACATCACGCGTGTGATGAACGCAATACTGCCCAACTTATGCTCTGATACCAAACTGACACACCGCGACCTGAAATGTCCATTAGGACTCCAAATCGAGTTGTGATGGCCGACACTTAGAAGGTGACGAAGCCATAAAGTATAGTGATATGGAAAATGTGAATAAATTTAAACCTAAAGTGCTTAAAGACAAGAGTGTACTGTGAGCCGGAATAAACCCATTTCACACGCGACATCAAAGCACAAGTAAAGTATAGTAGTGTAGGTAAGGATCATACCCTCAGAGGTAGCCACCTACAGTGAGATTCGCCAAGAATCCTTGTCGATACGAACTTTTAGCAGCTAAAACCTGGAAGGGGGAAAAACAAGGGTGAGTGGGCTGAAAATAAAGTTTTAATAAAAACCTTTTGAAAACGTTATAATCCCTCACTGTAAAACCCATATAATTTCCCAGAAAATAATAATACATACGTATATAGAAATCAGGCTTAAGAGGAATGAAAACCAAAGTATGTGCCATGTCAAGTATCTCAATAATAAATATGTAAGCCAGGTGCTGTGAATCAATATAAAATGATATGTCAGCCGGAGTCACTTAACGTGACATGTACGGCTGAACCTATAACTCATTAACCAATTCATGCACACAAGTCGGAACCACCTAATGTGGTCTGTATGACAGGGCTGGGTGTAAATAAGTATGCTCAAGTGCTACGATCACGTGAAGGCTGTGCGAATAATTGCGGGTCACCTACGAGTCGGAACCACCTAATGTGATTTGTATGATAGGGTTGTGCACAAAACTTGGATCCAAGGTGAGTGTGCGGTGTGGAATGTAAACATCATGTGAAGGACTATGCCCTGGCCACGGGTGGGAGCACTAACACGGGGGTGCAGGATAATGAGCTCTACATGCCTCTACGTATAACCATAACCAATGCAACCACTAACATCATACAGTACTCACCTGAAACTTACCTGGCCTCCACAGTGTTATACAATAGTATGCATATAATAAAATGAAATGCAAGCATGACATGGCATTTAAAAGAATACACTCGTTTCAAAACAGTTGCTGGGAAAATGTAAAGAATATATACATGTGTGTGTGTGTGTGTCTGTATATATATATATATATATATATATGTATATATATAAAACCAAAAGCCCACTCACCTGGAGTCCGCGCTACAACTCCCTAGCACAAACATCGAGGCGTCACGAAAAATCGGCCCCTAGAATAATTATCAAACCACATCTCGGAATCCTTATCAATAGAACACGTAACTTACATAAAACACATCCTCAAGGACATTCTAGAATGATTTGAGACCCATTGACCAAAAGTCAACCGTCGGTCAAAGATCAACTGTAGGGTCTACAACCCTACGTAACTCGATCTGGAAGATCCGCATCTCAGATTTCCGATCCGTAACTTCCAAATATCCACATTATGCTTCTAAAACATCATACTAAAAAGTTTCATTACGATCCTGGGTTGGATCTCCGCCAATTACAATTTCAAGTGGCGGTTAACGTTTTATTTCTTGCTATCAATGTTGCAAAAATATCGAGATAAAAACCGTTGTTTTGAAAGTACCTGATTGCGTGATGATATGGATGAATTGGTTTGATGCAGAATAATTATGAACTTCAGGTTCACATATTCCTACAGGCAAACACAAATATATATGCAAACAAATATGCAACAAGAATATGCAAAAATATAAAATTTAGGTTTACAATTATAATTGAATTTTAATTATTTGGACTTCGGGCCAAATTAAAGTGTGGGTGAAAAAATATAAAACCCATTGGACCTAAAGTAATTAGGCGAATAAAACTCGGGCCCAAAAGAAAAATAAACTCACAGGTGGCTTAAAAAATTGGTCTGTACTACCTAGGCCCAAAAATTGGGCTAGTAGTCTCGGTGTAGGCTGCAGGCCTATGGGCAGAACATGGCAAGGGGTTGGGTTGTTGCAGGCAAGCCCCAAGGTTTGTGAAAAAAACATTTTCATACGGGCCGCTTCAGGGGAGCCCAAAAAAAATATTTGTTCGCTTTTTTGTTTGTTTTTTTCTTTTTTCCTTTTTTTCCGTACGGGCTGAGTAGATCAAATGCAACAGCAAGTCTAATGGGCGCTATGTGATGCAGGCCGAGGAACTGAAGCCTACTAGGGCTTGGGTCAAACAGAACCAAGACACCTCAGCGGCGTTGGGTGTTAGAATTAAACTGAGAGGGGAGCGTTGGGGTCGTTTCAGGTGACTATCCTCAGGATCTATGGCACAAAAATCACGGGGGTCTAACTGGGGACACAAATATGAATGGAGATTGGAGAAATATCAACGTGCTATCAAAACCCTAGAAAACGAATTGGGATTTCAGAGAAATTCCGATGAGATTCAAGAGAATCTTTGGCCATAGGACACTGTGGACGATCTGCAGGTCGTCAAGGAGGCTAGGCATAGTGATTGAGTGGTGGTGACACCTGCTGGGTGTTAGGGTTAAGGTTTTGGGCTTGGAGTAGAAGCTCCAGCAGTGTTCTTTGGCTTGGGGGCCCATCGACAGGGATGGGTGATGGCACGGGTGCAAATGAACCCTAGGTTTCCCGATTTGTTTTTTTGTTTTTTTTTTGTTTTTCAATTCAATTCAATTATATGCATATGTAATTCAAATCAACGTAAATTCAATTCAATTTAATAATATGCATATGCAAAAATATTTTATTCAATTCATGCCAAATATCAAATTCACATAATTCAACAATTATGATTATGAGGCATACACAATTTATGTAGAATTTAAAATTTGTAAAACGTAAAGTTGGGTCATGCATCATGGTGAATGTATATGCTATCCGGGTTGCAAAAATATCGAAATTAAAATCGTTGTTTTGAAAGTACCTGATTGCGTGATGATATGGATGAACTGGTTTGATTCAGAAAAAAATTCTCTAACGTCAGATTCCTAAACGCAGCCGTAGGAGCGTGCTGATAACATGTTGTGGTCTATTTTATCTGACAAGGAGAGAGAGGGCCGGCGGCTAGGCGAAGAGAGAGATGTATTTGTAGAATTGTAGGGGAATGTGTGTGTTGTTATCCATCCTACATTGTGCCTTTATTTATAGAGAGATGTGTATTTGTAGAATTGTAGGGGAATGTGTGTGTTGTTATCCCTCCTACATTGTGCCTTTATTTATAGTAGTAAACGAGAAAAGATATTCCTTCTTATCCAAGGAATACAAAATACAATAGGAAATGATAATAGAATCAAATTTAATATGGAATTTACATAATTATACTTACACTTGAAATGTTTACAAGAGACAAAAAAAGCACGTAAGCCAAACTACATCCGGTGACGTCATTTTAATGGATATCTTTTTCGGCCGGTAATTAAACTGATTCTATATTCCGTTTTCGTCTTCCATCGTACGGTCACGATTTTGTACTGCATTTGCCTTCCCACAATCCTAGGCATAAAACCGAGACCGAAAAGTGTAACCCAACTTCCAGACCTTCTTCTGACCAATAGGGACTAGCCACGTGTCAGAAACCTCTGAATATAGCGTCCGCATTGGCGAAACGACACGACTCGAAAAGTCTGTTACCGTGGTCCAAAAGACACTGGATAACTGACACTCTCGTGCCACAGAGTCGCCAGAGTAGACTTAATAGAGACTGCCCCTGCCATTATTTCGGGATCCTGATTTTCTCGCTCTCTCTCCAAACAGAAATCTACTTTCTCTCACTTTCTCGCGCGTTTTCTCGGAAAATTTTGAGAATCCCAATCGAAATTCTACAGCCTCTCGAGAGTAGCTCAGCTCTCTCTGTCACTTCAAATTTCAGCTGAAAACCGAAGTATTAGGGTTTGCATTTGATTATTTTTGGGGATTTGAATTCAGAGTTTGTGAGTTTTGTGGATTATTATGTGTTTGTAGCTGTTGTGGATTTGTGATTGTGATTATTTGTTGTGAATTTTGTGTATTTTGGCCTTTTTATGTGTGCTGCAGATCCAAAAATTAGGGTTTGGGATAAAATGCACACTAGACTCATGGAAAGGACCAACTCTATGAGAGGGAAGAGGCCAATGGAAGGGGGAGAGGAGGAGCAGGCTGAGCGAAAGCGTCCTGCTCTTGCTAGGTAATGGATTTCATCTGGTTTAATTTCTATTGATTATGTTAATTACCTTGGTTTGTTTGCTAATTTGAATAATTAGACGTGTAATTTGTGAATTGCGAAAAATCCCTTTTGTTTGAGCCGATGTGGCTATACTTGTACTGATGCTCAATTTGAGCAGAGCAATGTGTTTCTTTGACTAGTAAATTTGGATATGCATTTGAAATGACTGAAAGTGCTTTTTGTGAAACTGTTTTTTGTTGCAAAATAACTTTCATCAAAAGCGCTTTGAGTAATTTTAAATCACTTTCAAACACTAGTTGCTGATTAGAAGTGGTTTAAACGCTAAGTAAACCTCACCGGCTTCAAAGTAGATAAAGAGTAACATTTGCTTATGACTCAAGCTTACTTAATGACCATAGCACATCACCACCACCAACCATGTTGTTCTTATCGGATGAGATATTTGAATTGAGAATAATTTATGGTGCATTGTTTTGTATGTCTTTGAGTACGTTGTTACCCTTTTGTGATTGGGGAATAAAAACTTTTGAGTTTCTGTATGGATCGACTTGACACTTGAATGAATTGTTGTGTCCAAAGCTTCAATATATTTTCTATTTGTGCTTAATGTTCCATTGAATATGTTTTTGCAGTGTAATTATAGAAGCTCTCAAGGTGGACAGTCTGCAGAAGCTATGCTCGTCATTGGAACCCGTTCTTCGCAGAGTTGTAAGTTGTTCTAATAACTTTCATATGTGACGTGTTTATCCCTCCTTTTTGATAGAATTAATAGTTACAGTTACTGGTAATCCAATGTCTATATTTGGGCTAATAAAGTTGAACAAATCAAAAGATAGTTTAAACCGTACTCTTGTTCCACACAGGTGAGCTTGAAACAATGATTAACATACTCAATGAAGAGTTTGTTATATCTTGATGCTTGTTGAATAGTTGATACTTTTTTGTGCTTTTGTGTTTTGACGTCTGGACTATTTTATCCATTAACTGAGTTGGATAAACATCTAGTTTCTTGTTTGTTGAAGGAAATGATAGCCTGGATATTGTTATTTGTTTATGTGGATAATTTGTGCTGAAGTTCTTCCCTGAATTCACTTTCTGTGGGTCACTCCGCTAATACCACCCAAATTTTAAAACTATAGATTTAAATGTGAGCGAGAATTTTTCAGGGTATGTAACTTAGTTTTTTTTTTTTTTATATTGATATATAGTGGTGGAAGCTAAATTTGTTTAGTGGTTGGTTAAGTGTTCTTGACACTTGATGTAGTGATTAATCTTCTGAGCTGAAATTATATTTAGGCCGACGTTGTATGTCCTTAAAGTCATTTCATTAAAAAACTTTTAGTTCAAATGACAGCACGTAATTTAAATCAAATATTAAGCTTTATGTTGCGTACTTCAAGTTTGTCTTCGTTTAATGTTGGCACCATGTATAAAACAAAGAAAATTTTGGAATATCTGAACTCCTATAGTTTGGGATGATTCTTGTGCTATCTATATGAAGGATAGATTCTTTCTTATGACTGAACTATTTGTCTACCACATGACACGATATACTGAAGTTATGGTAAAAAAACATTTCTATTGTGATTTTCTGTCTATGATCTTTATCTGTAGCCCTTATTCTTGTTTTTCCCTTTACTCGTTAATAGGTAAGCGAAGAAGTGGAGCGTGCTTTGGCTAAGTTAGGCCCTGCGAGAGTTAATGGAAGGTGAAAAGAATTATTTATGATATTTTTTAATGAACGGAATAATTTTCTTTATTGTATATGTTGTGGGTGTCTAGTGATTCTCTCTCTCTCTCTCTCTCTCTCTCTCTCTCTCTCTCTCTCTCTCTCTCTCTCCCTCCCTCCCTCCCTCTTCCAATTAGAAACCAAATATTTTAAACAGTCCGAAATAATGGGAAGACCTGTAGTCCATCTGATGCCAACCCCACCATATTTAAGAAGCAATGAAACACATCAAGAAAAGAAAAGAGCAGTCATAAACAGAGCTTTTCTTCTAATCACTAAGAAAAATAGGTTTACAGGATTGGTTATCCCTAGTTCTTAAAGCATTTATCTATTTTTCTATAGTAGTTCAGTTGTCTACTTAATTGATTGGTTCTTATTTGTATGAATCATGTGTGGAGATTTGAATGACAATCTAATGCCTTCCTTTCGTAGACCAGTAAGAGGTATTCTCTGAAGTGTTACCTTGTTCTGTCGAGTTTTGCTTACAGCGGTTGACCAATGATGAAGATGTGTATAAGTCTTAAAATTAGTTTACTTGCTACATATTTGTGGTCATATTTTACGTTGGGGAATTGTTCTGGATAAGATATTTGTTGGGTAGGAATTTGTATGCTTCTGTATGATACACAAAACTGTCACAGAGGTTGAAGGCTATTAGATTTACCGAAGATTTCTCATTTTCCATTCCATAAGTATGATGTTCAGAGAACGAGGTTGCTTTTGTTATATGGACTTTTCTAGATTTGTAATCATATATATTAATTCCTGAACAAATATTTATTGGGGAAAAAAATAACAGAAAGGACAGGTGTTTTTTGTGTAAGATCTTTCGTTTTGATGTCCTCTGATATTAGAACTATAACCACCATGAACTGTCTTAGCAAAATAAAAATGTTCAAACCATGACCAATAGTCAACACGTAGTGGTAAAATGGTTTCTGATATTTTACATTTCAGGTCTTCCCCAAAACGAATTGAAGGTCCAAATGGGCAAAACTTGCAACTAGAGTTTAAGTCCAATTTGGCTCTTCCGATATTCACAGGAGGGAAAGTTGAAGGCGAGCAGGGTGCTGCAATTCATATTGTTTTGGTTGATACAAACACTGGCCGAGTTGTAACATCTGGACCTGAATCCTCTGTAAAACTAGATATTGTTGTGCTTGAAGGAGATTTCAACAATGAAGACGATGAAGGCTGGACTCAAGAAGAATTTGATACCCATGTGGTGAAAGAGCGTGAAGGAAAGAGACCTCTATTGACTGGGGACCTGCAAGTGACCCTCAAAGAAGGGGTGGGAACTCTAGGGGATCTGACCTTCACAGATAACTCAAGTTGGATACGAAGCAGGAAGTTCAGACTTGGATTGAAAGTAGCTTCGGGATTTTGTGAAGGCATGCGCATACGCGAAGCTAAAACAGAAGCTTTTACTGTTAAAGATCACAGAGGGGAATGTAGGTTCACGCTGCAGACTATATTAGTTTTTTGTCCTAACTGTGCTAGTGCACTGTTGGTGATTTGCTTTTTCCTTTGATCTTGCCAGTGTACAAGAAACACTACCCACCGGCATTAAATGATGAAGTATGGAGATTGGAGAAGATTGGCAAGGATGGGGCATTCCATAAGAGGTTAAACAAAGCAGGAATATTCACAGTTGAAGAGTTTCTTCAGCTTGTGGTCCGAGATTCTCAAAAATTACGGAATGTAAGTGCAGGACTTTGTTTGAGTTGTAAAAACGCTCGCAAAAACACACATATTTTTGTACCTTGTAGATGTTTATGTTTTGCTCTTGTTTATAGATCCTTGGAAGTGGAATGTCAAACAAGATGTGGGAGGCTCTTTTAGAACATGCAAAGACTTGTGTCTTGAGTGGGAAGCTTTATGTTTATTATACTGAAGATACAAGAAATGTTGGTGTTGTTTTTAACAACATCTATGAGCTGAGTGGCCTCATCACCGGGGAGCAGTTTCACTCTGCTGATGCTCTTTCTGACAGCCAGAAGGTGAATATTACCTTATTTTTTTCTTGGAAATATGGTCTCACTATATTATTACTAGGTGGTCAATCGTTTTGTTCTTTTGGATTACATATTTCAAAATCAAGTTTCCTTGTCTGACAAGGATTTATATTTGACACGTATTTAATACTTTTTTTTTTTTTCCCCGAAGAGTTGAAAATGATATCATCACCAAGGAGCATTAGCAAGAGGGAGATGAATTTTTCTGATAATTCAAGTTTAAAGGATGTGCTTTTTTAAGTGCTATGGTTCTTTGTTCTTCTTGTGATCTTTTGTTATACTCGTAAAAGTATGGAAGTTATGAAGAGGCCCCTGTAACTACAATGTTTTCGAACTAGTTATGTACTTTCTGTTGCTGACTGAAAAATGTTTTTACTTCGAAAATCATGGGCAGTTGAAAGTCCTAGAGTTCTAGATGCTATATTCATTTTTAATCTTTTGTGGTCAATAATTGACAATGGAAAGGTCAAATACAAAAAAAATTGTATAATGCTTATGTTTGTGCAGGTCTACGTAGATGCGCTGGTGAAGAAAGCATATGACAACTGGGATCAAGTTATTCAGTATGATGGCAAGTCACTTCTAAACTTCAAGCAGAGTAAGAGGCCAGCTGCACCCCGAACTGAATTTCAAATGGGCCCAATCAATTACTCTGAAGCTTCTGATCAACTGCAACTACATCACACATCAAATTCAGTTCACTCAGAGCAGCCTCCATTGGATCCAGCCCTACCAATTGGAGGTAAGCATTGCGCCTGCATGAGCATTGAACCTTTGGTTTTTTGGTGGGGAGAGGGAGTAATCCCATCCACTCATGGTTGACCTCATAAAATTCATTTGTGGAAGTAATTATTCAGTCAGAAAAAGAGTAAGTAATCAATAAAGATAAGATAAGCTAAAACAGTGAAGGTGTTAAGTGTCCTTTGCTTGTGTGGAATATAACTTTAGGCAAAATATGAAAGTGTAGGATTTATAAATAGTGCTACACTGACTATATTTACAGAACAGAACCTGGAAAATCCTGAAGATATGGGATGTCAAATCCTCCAAAAATGAGCACAAAATTCATTACACTTGCCTGACTACTCATCAGCAACTTGGGTAGTTCACTTTGGTCACTAAAATATGATTTAGTGATATATAGGACAACCTTTATTATTTCTCAACTATGATTTAGGATCTACAGCTACTTTTAAAATTTGTTAACTTTATACATAGTATTCTTACAAACACCTTAGCGGATCAAAGCTGTAGAGTTTTAGAAGTGCCAGTCTATATAACTACGTAAAACTTGTATGTCTATGACCCATATCAGTGGAGTTATAATTTATGTTACAAAACCGAGCCTAAGCTCGTAATAAAAAATGCCATTGGAATGTAAGTGAACTTTTTGGTCGCACACTTACGACATATATTCTTTACACTTGTTGAGTTTTTATGGAATGCCTTGCACTTAATTTTTCCCTAAAGTGGAGCATCTGTTGTTTTCTGTCATGAAACCTTTCCTTCCTTCCTTTGCTATTCAAATTGTCCATACGTAGTAGCTGCCAAGGCTGACACAGCCACACACAGCCACACCCACCCACACAATCCTACCCCCCTGCCGCACATGCACACCCACACATGGGCACATGCGCTATTCAAATTGTCCATAAGTAATAGCTGCTAAGGCTGACACACACGTGCTTTCCTTCCGTTGCTATTCAAATTGTCCATACGTAATAGCTGCTAAGGCTGACACACCCGCCTGCGCCCACAACACACACCACACCACCCCACTGCACACACACGCACGTGTATGCACACAATGCATGTATTGACATATCGCACCATCACATGAAGACGATAGCCAGTCACGTGTATGCCCACAATGCATGTATTGACGTATGCCGCCGTCACATGAAGACGATAGCTGGATAGGGTCCTTATTATGATTATATTTTGGCTTATTTTTTTTATTATGGTCCTCATCAGGGTATAATGACAGTCTATCAACAAGATACTTGACCCAGCCACTTGTAAATTCCAATTCTCATACCCAGTTTGATGGCGCTGAATTTGCACTGGATGACCAACTGGTCAGCAATTCTCATCAGGTACAAAGCACAAGAAATGACCACAATGCTGTTGGTTTGGCTCGTGGTCCTCCACAATCATCTACATCAGGATTTCAGACTATCAATCCTGCTCAGACATCCACTCTTAATCCTATAGATGACTGGACAACCAACCGAGATTTCTTTTCAGAGGAAGAGATTCGCATTAGGAGTCATGAGATGCTCGAAAATGAGGATATGCAGCACTTGCTTAGAATCTTTAGTATGGGAGGAGGCCATGGCTCCATTGATGTGCCCGATGATGGGTTTTCATTCCCCTCATATATGCCCTCACCAATGCCCAACTTTGAGGAAGATCGCACCCGTCCTGGAAAAGCTGTTGTGGGGTGGCTGAAAATTAAGGCAGCAATGAGATGGGGTTTCTTTGTGAGGAAGAAAGCTGCTGAGAGACGGGCACAGATTGTGGAGATAGAGGATGAATAGAAGCCCATTCAAAGGTAATACAAGGTTCTTGCTGTGATGTCATTGTTCCAAGGATTTTGGGCATTATTCTGCAAGTTAAACTTTTAATCAGTGCCAGCAACAACTTGAGGTTTTAGGACTGATTGAAGATGTCGGTTTTAGAAGTCTTGATAAATGACTGACATCTGTGGATATCTGTTGGATGGCAATGAATCTGTTCTTGTACAGTTGCCTGTACAGTAAGTCCTCTGTTTATTTTTCTTACTCGTGAAGATTTCTCCCATCACTCTGCGAATGACATAGGGCCCTGGTTCCTAATGGGTAAATTTCGTATTAGCTCGTCTTGTTGACATACTAGGCGGAGCCGGCCACGTATTTTTAGGATGACTATAATCAGTTGTTTTGGTTAAACATTGCAGGCGGGTGCTGGTGGCTAGTGTTCTATATATTTGTGTTAGTTGCTTTTGTAATTTGAATTGACTGGAATTCTTGTACTTGACAGTCATTAGTTGTTTTCACCTAGTCTTGAATTTGAGTTTCCGTGTTTTTAGTACCGAAATCAGCATAACATAGCGAGATCTGGTAACACCATATTAAGTTTCGATTGTGTAAATTGGATGAGGTGGTAACACCAGAATCTAAGGGTTGAAATGTGGAGGCCAAATGGGGTTTGTGAGGACGATTGGATGCAGTTTCTATCAGGGATCATACCGCAGTTAGGCCTCATATATGTCCCAGAAGTCGCGTGACATGAAATTTGTGATGAACCCCAGAAATCTTGTAATTCTACGCAGTCTTTAAGCCTGGATAGCCTGGCTTCGTACACAAATGCCTTGTGGTTTCTATTTTTTTTTTTTTTTTCTGGTTTGGAATGCATTCCGGCTTCGGTTTTACTGACCCTACTTTTTCGGTGGTGTTTGGGTTAAATGGTGGCACAATTTAAGAATGTATTTGGAAGGTTGAAATGCTAGTTGCCTGCCTGCCACTTGGGAGTAGGAGGGAGGAAGGATCATCTTTTGACTGAATGGGACTCAATCACGATTGTTACGAACCGACCGATTTTGCGTTTAGGAGTACTTGTGACAATCGTTCACGCGCACAGACGACTCAGCAATTAATTATGAACCAAACTTTCTTCTATCTTGTTACTTTGATCACATTACCCGCATCAGCAGTGTAATTAACTTTCTTTGTTTACATCTCATGTCTCGTGATTATATAGTTGGTGCGACTGAGGCTGAAAAGATCTGACGATACCCTGAAGCTTTAATTGTGATTACTTCTCATGTCTAGTGATCATAGTTCGATTTAATTTGCGGTGCCAATTTAAGAGATTCACCGAACAAAAATTTTATAGTGCTTCACAGTATATTCTTGGGTTAAAATCTCTTCATCGAGTCCACCAATTAATATTGATACGCCTGACATGTCGAACAGGCCGCAGGGATCCAGCCCAATTTTTGCCTCAACTTTTCCATATTGCCAAACACAAACGAAATGAAAAGAAATAGGGAATCTTGGTTTGCAAAAGTTGATTGTCCGAGAAACATGAAGCATAGTGCAACACAGCATAAAATGTGCTGACACATCCCGACCCAAAAGGTCTACTTGGACTTCGAATCGAGTTGTGCTGATTGTCATCAGGAGGGTGACGAAGCCATAAAATGTAGTGATGCGAAAAATGTGAATAAATTTAAACCTAAAAGTGCCTAAATATAAGAGTGCGTTAGTGAGCGGGAATGAACCAATTTCACACTTTATAAGTAAAGTACAGTAGAGTAGATTGAGAATTATACCATCAAAGGTAATCTTCAATGCCTAGATTGCCAAGAATCCTCGTCGATACGAAAGTTCAGCTACTAAAACTTGGAGGGACGAAAAACAAGGGTGAGTGGGCCTAAAAATAAAGTTTAAAAAAAACGTTTTTGAAAACATTATAACCCGTCACTGTAAAACAAGTATAGTTTCCAAAAATATACATACTACGTATAGTATGAAAATACTTACCGTCGCCTGCAAAATCTCAAGATTTCAATATGTCACAAATTCGTAAATAAGAATATAACTTCTAGTAATCACAATATCTCGTAGAAATAAATAAATCACATCGAATGCTCATCGATATATGCTGACACACGAGTTCATGCAGAGGTATTCTAACATAAACAGGACTGGTGTAATAATGATTTACACTTTAGTACTACAATCACATGAAGATTGGTGCTATGCGCAACACATATGAGTCCTAATTGCCTATAGCAATCTAGGATAGGACTGGCACCTACAATGGATCCAAAGTGAGCGTATGGTGCGATGTGCACATACACGTGAAAGATTGGCCCTAGCTCGGACGAGTAGTAACATCGGTGTAGTAACGATGAGCAGATAATGTAAATAAAATTATACAGTGGTAAATTGATAATTCATGTCACCATAATACAGTGGCCATGCTTGCTGGAATGGAAGTGTGCCGGTGATCAGATGTCTCTGCACTTGCTGAGAGAGACAAGCGAAAGAGCTGAGGGAGAAACGGGGAGAGCTAAATAGAGAGAAAGAGTGTGATGACGTGGCGACAAATGAGAGGAGGTCTGGGAAAGTGGAAAGGAGAGGACACGGGAACAAAGAGGAGAGGAGACCCATGTGGGTGGGTCCCACGGACACAGATATCCTATAAGAAAATAATAAAATAGTAAGGGTGAATATCTGAAATAATGAATTTACTAAAATGCCTTTCTACTTCGTAGTTTCATTAAATCTTCATCGTAGCTCCAAATTCAGTTCCGTTTGCGCCAATGTGTTCATACCATTGAGTACTTTGAGAATACGGTAAAATAATAGCTCTTATGTGTCACGAAGTGATGGTCAAAGATAATCAACAATCTCTATTCTAAAGGCATTTTGGTAACTCACACTTTTAAAATTTATAAAATCGTAAAATTAGGGACGGGTTGTTACAATCTACCTACCTTAAAAAATTTCGTCCTTGAAATTTGAAATAACTTGCTTTACATAAAATACTCAAAATAGAAAAAAAATATATATAGAAGAAATCAAGCTAGAGCGGTCGCATAAAAGAGAATGTCATTCCATCGCGATCGGATTGCAATGATTCCTCTTTCATGCCTCCAAACTCATACTTTCCTTCGCCTTCTATACAATACTATAATATAATACTCTTTATAAAAACATAAAGTCGAAAATATTTATATATGTATAATAACATCATGTCAAAGTACATATATATAATAACATAAACTTAAAATAATTGTACTGAAATTAAAACTGAACATAGAATATTTTTCACCTACGCACTTGTTGTCATGTACTCCGAAGATAAGCGTGTAGTATCTTTGGGTCAAGCCCAAACAATAAATAACTAATTAAATAAACAAATACAAATGCTAACGTAGACAACCTATTTGTCCATTTGCTTAATGAATCCAACAAATAAATTATCAATATTACAGTCTATAGCCCTTAATACTAACACATTGTTGTCTCGAAAAGCAAGTAATAAATTCCCAAGGGTGCAATATTACCATCATGTCCCCCATTGGGAAATACACATACATCGTCTGATCAAAGCCTCGATCGTCCTCACGCATTACCCTCTCGGGCAACATCGTTAATAGCACACAATTTCCTAAATTGGAATCTCGATTATTCAAATACCTATTCGTAATACTCCTATGTCAATCATGTGCTATGCATAAAATCTGCAAACACATCTCAAATGGTGTTACCTTCAAAATTGAAAGTGTAACCACAGTTACACACAACTTTAACAAAGATAAGTGTCAATCATAACCGTGGTAAAACTACGGAACAAACAAACACAACATTTACATTAAGGTCTGGATAGTTCGTTCAAACTGGCTGTTAGTTTGGGGTGAAATGTGGTACTAGACAAAAACTTAGTATTCATAGCCCTCAAGAAGACTTCCCAAAACTTGGAAGTGAAACACGCATGACAGTGAGATATGGTAGTGACATGCACACCATGTAGTCGAATAATGTAGTTCACAACGCCTTAATGAGTAGATTCATAGTGAATTTCTCTCGGATTTAGCGGAAAATTACGCCGAAAAGGTTAAATGAACACTAAAGAATTTGAGGATCAAAACAAGTCCATCAAATCTAGGGTACAAGATAGCTAGAATGAATGTATGACATCTCGCTACCATGATAGCTTCCGGAATATTCAATCACCAAAGGTAAAGATTAGTCCAACAAAGTATATGTTGGGTGATTGAGGAATTAATCGTCACAACTAAAATTTCAATGTCCGAGCGATTCTTCTGAACAGTCTACCTGCCTCAGAAATACTACGAAGTGCAGTAGGGTTGACATGTACTCAAGGTTGACTAGATGTCTCTTGGTACAAAGAGGTGAATAGGGGATCACGGTCAAAGTAGATGTTGATCGAAATGCCAGACAATATGATAAATGCAAGGATGAAATTTTTTACTAAGTGGTATGAAATGTAGTCCATCTGGACCAACAAAAAGTGAGTTAACTTGTCAAGTCGGTCGATAAATTGCCGAACATCATCATAATCTCCACATGTACATACCTCGTACTGGGAGCTTATGGTGATATTTCCCCATCTCCATTCATATACAAGAAGTGATTATAGCCACTCCGAACAATTGCTTAATGATTTGTAAATAACGTCATATTAATACTCGTGAATTCTAGCTGAAATGGGATAGGACAAGCTAAAAGTGTTCAAAGGTATATATGTCTTTTGCTACGGTAACCGTAATTATATTTGCACAATCGGGGTGACACACGATAGTGTAATTGTAGACGTTGATTTGGTTCTTCCATCACCATTGTCAAAAATCTAATTCTTTTCAAATGAAGATGTATTTGAGAGGTCTAAGGTTGGTAAAGATTTTGGACACGTTTCTCCACAGAGAAATGTCATCTAGTTTTCAAGTAAAGATGGTAATCGTTGACTCTAAGTCACGAGTAAGGTGGTTCATTGCACACGGTTCCAACCGTTGGGAAACATAAGCGATACTCC